GCAGTTGCATTTTTTTTAATGAATGCAGTTTCACCTGTGTTCATTCTTTCACCTATTTTCTAGAAACTCCTCCTGGATGAGGGTGATCCAGGTTATCAGCACATCACACTGTATATCACACTGTAGAAGGCCTTTTCTGAAGCAGAATCCTGCAGCTATCCCTGGAGGGCCTACAGGTGCTGCCATACCAGCTAGGAGAAACTGCCAATCACACTGTCATGTTTCTCTTGAGTCTGAATTTCAACAGCAGCTTAAAGTCACAGCATGTTATTCTCCACCGGCTTTCCCAAGCCACAATCTGAAAAACATGATTTTTCTTGTGATTTTACCGCCTACGACACTTTGAGGAAAGGTATAGCTTGATGCAAATTCTTATACTAGACAAAGGGCAGGGATGGAAAAGAGAAATTCTCACAGTTATTTTGTACTAGTCGCCATTTGTGCTTTTCAACCCCACTCCATGATCATGTTTTTCTGCTTCCTTACAGTAAATAATATGTAAATGTAAAATTAGTCCATCCACATGAAAAACTGTGGGGATAACTTTACATATTTAGTGCAATGAGAACATTCAGCTCACATCCATCTACAATAAATGACATGTGAATTGAAGGAATTACACTGAAAACAGAGCAGGATGTCTATAATGTAATTTTGATGGAGCTAACTATAGTGTAGTTACCACTAATGAGAGTCTCTAGCTTTCATGCCGCAATGCAAGGCCATCATTTAGCAATGAGGGTGTAGACTGGCCTTTCATGCTCATCATAGCGTTGAAGGAATTAGTCCTTTTGAACAGTCACATCTCTGAATGAAAGAGAGAACGCGAGAAACAGACAAGAGGAGAGAGAGCTGAGCTGGTAGGTTGCACCCTGCTGTTATCTGAGACAAAGTGTTCTTTGCCAAGGGCAGCTCTGTCTTTCAACTCAACTTGCAGCCTGTGATAAGTCATCTACTATAATCTTTTTTTTAAACCATAACTCTGATTTTTTTGAGGTTTAAGAAGCACTGCTTGAATAAAAATGGCTTCTTCAGCAGTTTCAATTCTATAAATGACTGTAAAATAATTTGCAGGATTTGTAGGATTCCCTGAAAGGCAGCATATGCCTTAATTTTGACCAAGAAAAATGACAGGAAATGCATCTTGACACCATATTTATCAGAGCCATCTGTAAGGAGTGTCCACTCTTCATGCATACATGTATTGTACAGTATGTCCCTGCATTCCCAGACAGCTGTTATTTATGACACATGGAGTCAGTGGGAAACAGTAAGCATGACTGACAGACAGAAGGAGATGCAGACAGGAGGGAGTGCAACAGTGCACGTTAGAGAGGTGAGGGATAGCAAGAACAGATGAACTGCCATCCAAATAGATAACACAACAAGCAACAACAGTGACAGCTACACCTTCCAGCTGCTGTCTTTCATATGCTAATGCTGGCATTACTGTCTGCCAATGCAACACAGAAGACAATGTGTGTGTGTGTGTGTGTATGTGTGTGTGTTTATTCTAAATGAAGCAACTCTGTGCCACATGGTATTGATCAAGTCACCTGGCAAGGCTTTGAAACACATGCACGAGTGTGTAATATTGTCTCTTCACTTTGACATTGTTACAAGAAGATTAAAGCTATGCAGCATTGCACTGGGTAAGTTTTGTGATGGCAGATAAAATATGTTGTAACAGGTGGTGGTTAAAGGATGGGTCTGGGGATATTATATATGTTTCTTATTGGCAACAGTGCCAAGGGCCAAAACCAACAATGAACTTCTGCTGCTAACAAGAACTGCCTGTTAAGGCAAAGCCTGACATACTGTAGCTTATTCATCTGCATCACAGACCTTCACTGACACAGAGGAAACACATCAAAGAGCCACAGCGTTGCAGTGGTTGACATCTCTCTTCACTGCAATGAGTTTGAGCATTGTGGACCAAGGCTGAAAACGCTTTCCCGCAAATACTCTATTTACTCATACCAAAAGGTTTGCTCAGCTGTCCTTTTTTAACCACATGGAGCAGCAGAAACAAGTTGCTAACACAACACTACAGTGTATAATCACATTTCAGTTTTAGCCTGTGGTGAAATTGTCAACACCTCTGTCTAATCCAACACACTTTTTTTTTTTAGCTCTGTTTTGGACTCTGCTCACCAGCTAGTCACAGTTAGTGACTGTGCTTAGCAGGCTGTGTACAGTAAGTGCCCTTTCACTGAAAACAGCAGCCTGCTGTGGCCACAAGCATTGCTATAAGAGCGGTAACAGTGAACCAAAACTCTACAGTAGTGTACAGATAAACAGTGACCTGAAACTTACTGTAAAGTTCATAAAGCAGATGCAGGTAATTCCTCTCTGCAGTGTCATCACTATGAGCTAATCCTTTCACATTTTTTTGGCCCATTGTTATAATGAAAACATAAATTATAGCAGCTTTATGGAGCAGAACATAGAATAAGAATAGATTATTGCAATGCACTCTGTGTAGGAACTAATCAGTCATCTCTCTGCCACCTTCAGTTGGTCTGGAACGCTGCCACTCACCTACTGACAAATGCACGTAAACATGATCATACTGTATAACACTCACACTTGCTTCACTCCACTGGCTTCAGGTTTGTTTTAGAATTGACTTTAAGGTGTAGCTTTTGTATTGCTTATTATTATTATTTTATCGTTTCTTAAATAATTGATTTGTTACATCCTTACCTTCCAGGCACATCTCTTAGGTCTTCCGAACAGTTATTACTAGATATTCTGAGATCTTGGCTGAAGCTCAAAGGAAATCATGCATTTGCTATTGCTGGTCCAACACTATGGAATAACCTGCCATTAGAGACATCTACTCCGGACATCTTTAAATCATTACTGAAAACTCTTCTCACTGGCATTTAACCTTAGGTAAAAGACTTATGTGTGTTCTGGTGGGTTTTCTCACCTATTTATTCATTTTTATTTATTCTTTTTATTGTTTTATATCTATTTTATTATGCTTTGCTGTGATTGTGAGTGATATATGTGGCTATTATGATTATTTTAATTCAATTTGTTGTGCACTTTGCAACCTTGGGTTTATAAAAAGGGCTATTGAAATGCATTTGCTTAGCTATGACAGCAAATCCTTTAAAATTGAATTTAAAGATAACATTTTAATTATGAATACTCTGAGCTGCCACATGTTGGCTTCAATCATTAATTTCTCTAATTGACATACACAGCCATGTGGCAAACTCCTCATGTCTGTACGGATTATCCCGTGGTCTCACGGTCATGGCATCATTTGTCTCTATTTCAGTTGCTTTGTTGAGCTGATTTACAATTCACTTCAGTGATTGGAGGAAATGTATGACAAATACATGTGATTAGACTATTGTGAGTTGCTTTGTCAATATGTCCATGTGGCTGTGTGTGTGTTAGCATGTGCTACTCCATGCACACACAATATGGCTCTTCAAGGCTGTCATGTGGTCTGTAAAGCCTTTCTCTTCGTGGGAGCCGACTATCTATTCTGTGGCAGAAATGCACTAAGGTCTCTGACTGGCACAGGTTAAATCCCTCTCTGTGTCTCTGGGAGGCCACCAACTGGAGTGAGAGATAGACTGTGTGTGTGTGTGTAAATGTATGTGTGAGGATGCATGTGAGTAAATGTCATAGATCCCAAAGGAATTATGTTGAGTTTTGAGGGCTTCCAAGCAGCTCTGGGATCATGCATGCATGTGACTCTGTTTGTTATCTCGCAGTCCACATACTGGCTTTAACTGTGCTGCCAGAGGATGGGGCAGAAGACAGATCCCAGGACTGGGTTATCCACAATTCACTTGTGTTACTTGAGAGAGAGAGGAATGAGGAGAGAGAGAGAGAAAGAGAGAGAGAGAGAGAGAGAGGACAGGAGTGCTGAAGGCTCGAGAAGGAGGGTGGAAAAGAGAGATCAGTAATCTGAACTCTGTCAGAGTAACAGATTAGCTCACTCTGTGAAGTGATATATGACTGACCTCCTCACATGCACACGAGCACAATCACACCCCCACTATGGATCAATTACCCTGTCATCCATGTGTGCGACCATACATCAGTACCTAGATTGCATCTCTCACACACAGGCATTTGTATGCTGACACAATATACACACCCCACTGAAAGTCAGATGTACTTCTTTTCATTGACTGTCTTTGTGTGTTTAGTCTTTTACAACCAAGTTTCTGCCTGAGTTTTGTCGCCTTAATAGGCTACTTGTTACCGTCTATCTGTTCTCCTTCCACCAAAGGAGAAAGGGCACACAGCATAACACACACACACACACACACACACACACACACACACACACACAAACACACAGTTACACCCCAGAGCCAGTGTGGGTGCTGCCTCAAACAAACTGTGCTGGTCAGAGTAACTGGACAATGTCATTTGTTGTGAGTAAACTTCTTTGCAACGCTCATTTCATTCCAGACACTGGAAGAGACTAAGACCACACACACGTACATGTCCACACAGGTCAGTTTTCTTGGGCAGGGTGTTGATCACCCCTCTGTTCCTGTTGGTGTAGTCCACTGGGTAATGCCCATGGCTCAACTGAAGTGAGTTCAATTTAATTTGAACTTCACGCAGCCCAGAGACGGTGTGGTGGGGCGTGGGGTGACAGGAACATTTCAGACTTTCCCCATATCCAGCATCTAGCCCCCTGACAGGCGTTACTGATGCATCTGGCTATGTGTGTGAGTTTGGGCTTGTGGTTTTTATGCTGAGGCATTAGCCCATGCCTCTTTCTATTTGTGGGCCAGTTTAAACTGACAAGATACGACTAATATCATATATCCAAAGGTCTTGGTTCAGCCCACATGACCCTTTTCACATTACTGTACAGTATCATTTACGTTTATTGCATGCGCCTCTCTGGCAGTCGTCTCGTCATCAGGCCGCTAGGCAGCGCTGCTCCACTTCAGAACTGAAACGCTCTCCAGGTTCCAGACAGGCAGTCAGGATCGCAACAATAGTCTGCCTGACTCTTCGACCGCATCACACCTCTATCCTACCACACTGGGCTACTTTCTTTTCACTTTCCTTATATAGGGTAAAGAGGAAATCATCGGTAACAAAATAAAAGTCTGATTAGGCGGTTTCAAGTTGGATATTTCCTCCATCTCGGTATGGTCCAATAAATAAGTTTCCACGGTTATCCGCTGCGTAGAAGAGGAGCGGAACTTTCAGAGGACTGGAGTAGCCGAGGGGACAGCGCGCTGGTTTTACTCCAGGAGGTTACATCTGCCACCCGCGCCCCTCCTCTCTAGGCGGATGGTATGGTACAACTTTCTCGCACCGATCGAACCTAAGTGGCCGTCGTGAGAGAAGAGCCGTTTTATGCTAGTCTGCTGGAGAGGAGATGCGAGCCTCTCCTCCGTCTCGGATGGCAGAGCGGCTATGAGGAAAGAGGTCTACCTGCTGGGCTAACAGAACAAGACCACCGTGCACCAACAGGTATGGATCACCGAATAGCCTTTATACCTGGGCAGAACAGCGTGCAGCTGGTTGTTAACTGTATAAAAAGTGTGCGTGACAAAAAGTAAACGCATGATTGTATTGGCTCACACTGCTGGTTATATCGTGTCTGAAACACATTTACGCACGGAATGGATTACACTTCATCCGTTCCATGTTAGGAAATAGACAAGGATTTTGTGAAGGCATGAGTTATGCAAAACGAGTGCTTACGGTAATACCCCATCAGCTTGCTCTGGTATGGGATCACGGTTGTGATTTTTCAGCTAAGACAAATGATTGCGGTTGTTTCAGGTGTTACATAGCGGTTACGGGCTTCTCTCTCTCCCTCTCTCCCCCCCCTCTCTCTCTCTCTCACACACACACACACACACACTACTTTGCTGCCTTTCCTCGTGGGGACTTTACACTGACTTTCACTTCACACTGACATCGAAGGAGACTTAAACATAACCACCACTTGCCTAACCCTTAACCCGAATCTTAACCAAACCCTCATCTCATTCTAACCTAACCTTAAACCGAGTCGTCACCCACCATTTGGTCGAAAGCTGTCCACACAATGTGAGCTGTCCCCCCAGCGTAAGTAAAATCAGGCCAGGTGGTTTTATACACACACTTACGCGCGCACGCACACCACGGGGCGCACAGGCTTAACTTTGCGTATACGAGCATATGTCGCCGGGTTCAGTGCGCTATTTTAGGCAGAGCTGGTATTTAGCAGTGGCAGACAGCTGTCCTACTTCTTGTTGACTGATTCTGTGAGGTGATATTTTCTGAGGTGCTAAACGATAAGTGTGTTGTCGCCTTATTTCACGGAGAAAAAGCAGAGGATAAACCTTTATGCCCTTTGCCGAGAAACACTATTTCTCGTCTCCTGTTTAAAATGAGTTGCCCTCAGCTGTGATTGTGTTGTCTTCGCATAGTAGGAGCATGATGTGCATCGCTTT